GCAGGTCGAGGCTGCGGTGGCCGGGAGCGGCCATTGCACTCCAGTCTGGGCGACAGAGTGAGACTCCAACTCAAAAAAAAAAAAAAAAAAAAATTAAAAATGAGTTGGGCATGGTGGCTGGTACCTGTAGTCCCAGCTACTCAGGAGGCTGAGGCAGGAGGATCGCCTGAGCCCAGGAGACTGAGGCTATGGTGAGCTGGGGTGGTGCCACTGCGCTCCAAGCTGGGTGTCAGAGTGAGATCCTGACTCATTCCGTGGCCAACATTCTTGGCCAGGGACAAAGGGGTAGAGGGTCCCACTGCTGTACTCATGCCCAGGCCAGACAAACTTCTCCAGGGCCTTTATGCTGGCTGTTCCCTCTGCCTGGTCTGTTCTTGCCCAGATACCCCCAATAACCTCCTTCAGGTGGCCGTGGAGAGGAGGCCTTCGCCAACCCACCTATTTAAATTTTTTTTCTATTTACTTTTAATTACTTTTTTAGAGACGGGGTCTCACTCTGTCACCCAGGCTGGAGTGCAGTGCACCAGCATAGCTCACTGCAACCTCCAACTCCTGGGCTCAAGCAATCCTCCTGCCTTGGTCTCCTCAGTAGCTGGAACTACAAAGTTGCCCCATCATGCCTGGCTGATTTTTAAAAAATCTTTTGTAGAGCTGGGCTTGATGGCTCAGCCTGTAATCCCACGCCTTTGAGAGGCTGAGGTGAGTGGATTGCCTGAGCCCGCATCTCTACAATAAATAAATAAAAAAAAAATTACCCGGGCGTGGTAGCACGCACCTGTAGTTCCAGCTACTTGGAAGGCTGAGGCGGAAGGATCACTGGAGCCCAGCAGGTCGAGGCTGTAGTGGCCCAGAGCAGCCGCTGCACTCCAGTCTGGGCGACAGAGTGAGACTCCAACTCAAAAAAAAAAAATCTTTTGTAGAGATGGAGTCTTGCTATATTGCCCAGACTGGTCATGAACTCCTGATCTCATGCAATCCACCTGCCTTGGCCTCCCAAGTAACTGGAATTACAGGTGCAAGCTGCCGTGCCTGGCTAAGCATAGTTTTTATTACTTTCTAACATATGCCACATGCTCCTTGTCCATCCCAACTTGAGTGCCAATTCCCTGAGAGCAGAGATTTGTTTTCTGTTGGGTCTAGGAGGCGCATGGAAGTGTTCAGGAAACTGAGTAAATGGGTGAAGTGACAGCTCTAGCAGCTGGGGGGACTGGCCTGGAGGGGCTGGGGATGAATGGCAGGGGAGGCAGCGGAGGCCTCAGTGGAGATAGAGAGCTCGAGCAGAGGAGGTCCATGGAGAGATCCCCAGGATCTACATGCCGACAGAGCACGTGTCCAGGGCTCCCACCCCGAGGCCAAGGCCACCCCGGCCCTCCCCACTACCCACACACAGGCCACACACCAGGTAGCTGAGGGCGCTGGCCAGCTGCTGGGCCACAGCCAACTTCCAGGCCACGGGCACGCGGCCCCGCTCTCGCCGCAGACACATGTCCAGGGGCCCATGTTCCACATACTCCGTCACCATGATGTCTGCAAGGACATAGCTGCTCCAGGGGCTGCCTGCCAGCTCCCACCCTCCTGGGAGGCTGGGGCAGGATCCAACTTGGGGGCTGGGGAGGTGTTAGGTCAGGGGAGGCAGTCTGGACTGGGAGTGAGTCTGGGGCGAAGCGCAAGCTGGGGCAGAGGTTGGTATGGTGCAGGAGAGGCACAGGTGGGCAGTTGGGTCCTTTGTCGCAAGCTGGGACAGAGGCTGGTATGGTGCAGGAGAGGAGAGGCATAGGTGGCTGGTTGGGTCCTTTGGCAATGGGTCCAGGTGGAGCGGGACCTCAAGGAAGGTGAAGTTCAAGAGCAAAGGTGAGCCTGGGGGTGGAGAACTGGGCAGGGGTGTGGAAAAGTAGAGGCAGTTTGAGGCTGAGAACTGATGTCAGGATATCACAGTAGTTGGGGTAGGAAGGTGGTGCACACTGGGGTCGGGGGAATGGCTGGGTCAGGGGTCATCCTGTAAAAGGAGGCTTTTTCCTTCATTTTTTAGAGACAGGGTCTTGCTCTGTTGGAGTGGGTACAATCATAGCTCACTGCAGCCTCCAACTTTTGGGCTCAAGTGATCCTCCCATCTCAGCCTCCTGAGTAGCTGGAACTACAGGCTGACTCATTCACACCACCAGGCCTCACTAAATTTTATTTTTATTTTTATTTATTTTTTATCTTTTTTGAGTTGGAGTCTCACACTCTGTCGCCCAGACTGGAATGCAGTGGCCACTCCCGGCCACCGCAGCCTCTGCTGGGCTCCGGCGATCCTTCCGCCTCAGCCTTCCAAGTAGCTGGAACTATAGGCACGCGCTACCATACCCGGCTAATTTTTTTAATTTATTGTAGAGATGAGATCTCACCAAGTTGCCAGGTGAGTCTCGAACCTGCAGGCTCAGGCAATTCACTCACCTCAGCCTCCCAAGGTGCGGGATTACAGGCTGAGCCACCGAGCCTGGCTTTTTTTTTTTTTTTAGTTGAGTTCTCCTTGTTGCCCAGGCTAGGCATGTGCTACCACACCTGGATAATTTTTTTTGTTTTGGCTTTTTATAGAGACAAGGTCTCCATATGCTGCCCAGGCTGGTCTCGAACTCCTGGACTCAAGCAATCCTCCCACCTCGGCCTCCCAAAGTGTTAGGATTACAGGCATGAGCCAGCATACCCCACCTTTGACTAATTTAAAATTTTTTTTGTATAAACAGGGTCTTGCTATGTTGCCCATGCTGGTCTTGAATTCCTGCCCTCAAGTGAGCCTCCCATCTCAGCCTTCCAAAGTGTTGGGATTACAGGTGTGATCCATCACGCCCAGCCTATACAGAGTCTGAGGTACAGGAGAGTGAGGGTGGAGGTGGATTAGGCTCTAAGCAGGTTTGGATGTGCAGGGACTGGAATGTGGGAGGATTAGAAGCACATTAGGGCTGGAATCTCCCTGGGACCATAGTGCTGATGGGTCTGAGGGCAGATGGAGCTGGGTCCTAGAGGTGATTTGGACAATTGGGAACCAGGGTGCACGTGAGGGTCAAAGTGTGGCCAGGCATGGAGGCATAGGTTGAAGGACAAGGTGGTGCGCAGGATTAGAATCGAGGCTGGAGCCCAGAAGCAGTCCTAAACTGGGTACAGGCTGAGGGTGGGGTCAGCCCAGGGCGTGGTGTAAGAGGGGTCAGCCTGGATGCAGGGCCTACTCACTCTCAGGGCCGCGCACGCAGACGCCATGCACGAAGGCCAGGTGTGCGTGGGAGACCTGGCTCATGAGGCTGGCTGTCTCGTAGAAGGCCTGTGGGGACCCGGCAGGTCAGGGGACTGCACATCTGCCCCTCCCATCCTGGCTTTGCCCTATGCGCCCCTCCCCATCCTGGCCCCAGGCCTACAATTATGGCCCCGCCCCCCACCCCAGGGCCACCTGGCTGGCTGCATGCACTCACCAGAGCAATGTTGTGGTGACTAGGGTCCAGCACTTTGAGCACCACGCGGAGCTCCTGCTCACGATCCCCACCAGGTACCAGGGTGTCCCCGCTGTCCACCGTGCCCTCCTCGGGGCCCCCGCCCTCCACTCGCAGGAGGCCTTCGTACACGTTGGTCCTCGTGCCCTGACCCAGGTGGGACCGCTGCAGGAACGCAGCGCGGAGCATCCCCGTGAGGACAGGTGGCAGCTGACTTTCCTAAGTCTGTCACCGCAACCCCGCCCCTTCCCACACCCACCTGGGTGATCTCGTTGTGGCCCACCCGATGGAAGGTGAGCTGGCTGAGGTTGAGCGGCCTGCCGCTTGCCCGAGGTCCCCATGTGATGATGAGGTTGGAGATCTCTGGGGGCAAGAGCGCAGTCAGGAAGGCCGGCACGGGGACAGGCGCCGCCTCCCACCCGGGTTCCTGCCATCCTACCTCCCGGCCGGGGCAGGCAGCAGCAGCGCAGGGAGAAGCAGTCATCTCTGGCACGCAGCGAGCAGCCCTGTAGGGTGGCTCGCAGCTCCCTCACACTGGGGAAAGGCCGGCCCCAGCCCTCCAGCACGAAGGCGCCAGCGCGCTGCTCAATGGGGAACTTGCGGAGACGCAGGCTCTGGTCCTGCGGGGGACCAGTGGGGAGGCGGTGAGTGGGGGTCCAGGCCAGTAGCAAGCCCTGCCCCAGCCCAAGCCCCACCCAGGCCCACCGGGCCACGCTGGGCCACCGTGAGGATCAGCCGGTGGAGGTGGCTGGTGCTCCAGTGGATAAGGTAGAGACCGTCCTCCGGCCGCAGCTTGGCCTGCACAAACGGCTCCCTAGAGGGACAAGAGGGCCCTGTCAGCCACCCGGGTCACTGCTGGACCCTCACCTGGCAACAGTGACACACAACACCGGCCAGCTGGGATAAGCGCCAGACAGTCACTCAGGGAAACCAAGTCTGGACACATATACACAGCCATGCACATGGAGACAAAGCGCAAGGACACACTCACGCAGAACATCAGACGTGGCACCGACAAGGTTGACACACTCCCGAGGTGGGAGACACCATCAGGAGCTGACACCGCCACTGCTGCTCGCAGGCAACACGATAGAGGGTCGGTCATACACCCCAAGAACAAGACTGCAGATACACCTAATTGTCCATGTGACACAGCAACTCGGAGACCTGGCATCCCCGACACGGAGGTGGCCCTGTCACAAACACAGACAGGCACTCTGCGGTGTCAGGGCCACACAGCCCAGATGACACTCAGTGGCTGACACACCAACACGGCCCCCAGACACTTATCTTGGGGGCGGCGTATGACCAGCCATGACATGCATGGCCACAGGCCTAATGAGCAGAACAGCCACTTCCACCTCCACTGGTGTCCCAGGTAGGACAAGGGATGGCCAGACACAGGGCCAAGGACCAGACAAACAGACAGTCACGAGCTACAAGCTGGGAGCACACAGGACGGCCACATGCTGTGCACCTGACCACACAGGAAGGAACATCATGCTAACAGCCCAAGTCACAAACAGAGCTGTGGAGAGCTGACCCATGAGTCACCAGCACAGGCACCTGCCAGCAGAGGCGGATGGGCTCAGTGACCCCTGAATGGTCACCAGCATTGGGAGACAACACCCAGGTGCATGAAAACCAGTCATTCCATAATAAACTCAATGTGTGGTGACATTCTCAAGCAGTGTCACTGTGGCAGTGACAACATAGCCGCATGACAACCAGGCGGTTATACACCCAGACATGCATGATGACAGTCCCAAACATGGCCGTATCATGAGGACATGCTGCCCATACCATCCCAGGCACTCTCTCTTGCCACAGAGCTGCTGTGTGAGTGTGTGCATACACATTTGCCCACACACTCACACGTAAAGACATGGTGCAATAAACACAGGTGCAGTCACACAGGGTACATACATGCATGTGCACCCAACCACACACAGACACACATACAGTCACTTGTGCACACATGTATTAACATGTACACACACTAGACAGAAGGCACACATGGATGGACACGTGCACACAAAGACACACACGTACACAAGGCTAGACTCACGCACACAGTCAGGTGTGTGCACATGTACACCCCACAGTCCCTGGAGCCCTGGCACCCCCCACTCACAACAGGGGTCCGTGGATGCCATCCCGGATGCTCATCACCAGCCGGGGAGGCACCACCTCATGGCACAGGTAGTGGCTGGAGTCAGCCGTCAGACGGAAATAGCCATCCACCAGGGCCACGAAAGACAGGGCAGCAGCACGGGAGGGCAGGCCCAGCTCCTAAGGGCAGGGGTGCATCAGACGGGTGTCATGGGTCACAGTGCCCCCGCCCACCCCGGCCCGGGTCCTACCAGACACTTGTTGTCCTGCCGGTGGATGCCGACACGGCACTCCTTCAGCACCACGTGGGTGATGTCCCGGAAGTCACAGAAGTAGGTCCAGGGTGGCTCCCGTGGCCTGGCCACTGACTGGCCACCTGCCTCAGGTACCTTGGCGCTCTTTCCAAACAGGTCAGCTTGGGGATTCCTGCCAGCGCCGCTGCTACTGGTGGAACCCTGGATACCCAGCAAGCAGGGCGGGATGGCACAGGGTAAAGCCAGTTTGTCCTGCTGTGCTTTTCCTCAGGCACCTCCAGGCCTCCTCCACCTCCCCCAGGAGATATGCCCACATGCCAGGCCCCAGACAGAGTACCCAGAGGCGCAGGCCCTGGGAGAGATGCCCCCGAGCGCTTCACCCTAGACACCAGAGAGCCTCCCAGTCCACCTGGACCAGAGTGGATGAGGCAACCCTCACCTCCCACACTGGCCGCCACTGGATGCCACCTGTACCGGTCACCAGCACTTCGTGGGTCAGGGGCCTGGCAGCGGTCTTGGAGCTGGGATCCACAGGGGCCTGCCTGCTGTCCTGGACGCAGCAGGACCCCGCCTCGGCCTGGGCCAGCAGCTGCAGGTGGCACACGGACACACACTCTGTGCCGAAGCGGGGCGCCAGCCGCTCCAGCGTGGCCAGGTACTTGACCATGACCACCTGCTGGGAGAGACGGCCCGGCTGGAAGGCCCGCAGGAAACTACGAAACATGCTCCGCAGGCGCAGCCGCGTCAGGGTGCTGTGCTGCCGGATCTGCAGCCGGAAGGAACGGGGGATACAGTCCTTGAAGCTGTGGGCACAAGTGATGGGGTCAGCGGCTGGGCCGCAGCCTGGCTGGGTGGCATGGGGCAACCTTTCTGAGGCTCAGCTGCCTCGTCTGGAAAACAGGCACATTTGGCCAGGTACGGTGGCTCACGGCTGTAATCCAGCCCTTTGGGAGGCTGAGGCGGGAGGCCATGCCTCTTTTCTTTTTGAGTTGGGGGTCTCACTCTATAGCCCAGGCTGGAGTGCAGTGGCACAATCACAGCTCACTGCACCCTCGACCTCCTGGGCTCAGGCGATCTTTCAGCCTCAACCTCCTGAATAGCTGGGACCACAGGCACATGTCTCCACAACCGGCTAATTTTTAAATTTTTTGTAGAGATGGTGTCTTGTTATGTTGCCCCGACTGGTCTTGAACTCCTGAACTTAGGCAATCCTCCCAAAGTGCTGGGATTATAGGCATGAACTACTGTGCCCGACCTCTTTTTATTTGTTTGAGAGACAAGGTCTCAATCTGTCACCCAGTCTGGAGTGCAGTGGTGTCATCATAGCTCACTGCAGTCTCAGACGCCTGGTCTCAAGCAATTCTCCCACCTTGGCCTCCCAAAGCCCTGGGATCACATGAAAAAGCCACCATGCCCAGCCTATGTTGGGTGTTATTATTATGGGAGAAGTTGCTATTGATTATGTTGCTAATTTGATGATGGTCAACAAAAGGCCCAGCTGTGGGAGGTCTCTCTATACCCTGCAAAGTCCTACCACCTCACACTTCATATCCGCCCCCTCCCCATTGCCTGTCCGCCCCCACCACAGGTTTCTGCTTCTCAGCAACTATGTCCCAAGCCCCTCTCCTACCCTTTGACCAAAAGGGTCCTAACGCTCAAGGTACTAGCTGCCTCCTACCCCCATTCTGAGCTTTCCAGGACTTCCCAGTGCCCCTGACTAGCAGCAGGTTGCCTCCTGCACTCAAGCAAGTTCCACATTCAGTTACCCTAGAAACAAGTCTTTGCTGCCCTTCTGCCTTTGAGCCTTCATACATGACATTCCCTCTGCCTAGAATGTGTTGCCAAGAAGATCTCAACACTCAGAACAAGTGCCTGCACACAGTAGGTGCTTAATAAGTGTCGAATGGATAAAGACAGGGCAATATGCAAACACTGTTGTAGCTCTCAGATGCTCAGGGCAGTGTCCCCACCCCATTCCCAGACACCTGATCTTCTTGGCCACTTCCTCCAGGGGGACGCCACGGTGGAGAGCTAGGTGGCAGAGGTGCAGAAAGGCCATGCCCAGGCTCTCGTTCTTGAAGTGGTGAATCTCCTCCTCGCTCGACAGCTCTGACAGTGATGCCACATCGTTCACAAACTCATGCTTGCCCTGGGGTGGGGGAAGTTGGGCAGAAAGACAGGCGTGAAGACGTGGCCACTCTCCAACCAAAGGACTCTAGTTTCCTGCTTCTAGACTACCCTGGGGAGGGGAGAGACCACCATTTACTGGAAAGGCCAAACGCACAGCACATACACCTCCTCTGTCTAAGCCTGTCCCTGTGGCAGACATCACTATTCAATCACAGCACTCTTTCCCCTCAGCCCAACTCTTTGGGTTCAAACAGCCAAAAGATCCCAGATGGCATGAGTCGAAATCCATTGTAAGGGAGGTGGGGCTTCTTCACCGCCACTAAGTCCCCCACAGAGAGTCCTGCCCCCAGCCCTGCTCACACCTGCTCGAAGAGGTACTCAAAAGAGGCTGAGTCCAGGAGCTGCATGCCCTGCTCTGTCGGGTCTGAGGACGCCTCAGTTCCTGGGGGCCCACAGCGGTACACAGTCGGCTCCTGAGGATTCGTGCCATGCCAGTTCCGGAAGTAAAACCTGCGGGAAGGGAGGGGCGTGGGTGGGACTCAGCACAGTGTCAGAGCAGCCACAGGACCAAAGGGGATGAGATGTGCAGGGGGCCTCAACCCACCTCATGCGGAAATACAGCACCAAGCTTGTGTCTCTGGAGGTCTCCAGGACGTGGTTTGGGGGCAACCAGACCTGGGCCTGGGCGTCAAAGAGGGCGAAGAGATTGAAGCAGGGAGGAGAGATGCCTGGACCAGGGGAGAAACAAGGTTAGGAGGCAGGTCGCCCGCTGCTATCGCCCAAAGATCCCAGGCCTGCCATCTGCCTTCACATTCCCTCCCACCTCCCCTGCTGACAGCTTAAGTCGCATGTGGATCATGGGCACAGGACAATGCAATACGTTGACTACGCTGCAGCCTCACCAGAGAACTACATTTCCCAGCCTCCCTTGCAGCTAGGATGAGGCCACTACACTGATTTCCAGCCAATGGGATGCAGGCAGAAAGAAATCCTCTTGCTCTCTTCCCTGCCTCAGGGATGTGGAAGGCTCCTAGTGCTAGGTGGTAAAGCTATGAGGTATGGATGAACTGGCCAGGTGGGGTGGCTCATACCTGTAATCCCAAGTGAGGTTGAGGAGGACTGCCTGAGCCCAGGGGTCGACACCAGCCTGGGCAACTTGGTGAGACCTTATCTCTACAATATATATATTTAAAAAATTAGCTGGGCATGGTAGCCCATGCCTATAGTTCCCTTGGAAGGCTGAGGTGGAAGGATCACCTGAGCCCAGCAGGTCGAGACTGGGGTGGCTGTGAGCGTGCCACCGCACTCCGGCCTGGGTGACAGAGTGATACTCTGACTCAAGAAAAAACAAAAAGCAAAAACAAAACAAAACAAAACAAAACATATGTACGGTATATAAACTATTTGATCTGCATTCAATTCTAGGTAAACTCCGGTTGTCTTAAGCCAGAAAGATTTGGGGGGTTGTTTGTTCCTGCAGCAAAACCTTGTCTAGTCTAACACAACTCTCCAAACTGCTGGCAATTTGCCTGGTGTCTCTCTAAACCACAGCGCCAAGGAAATATCCAACCACCTCCTGGCTGTCTCCACTTGGACATCACAGGTCCCCTTAGATGTGCCTTACTCCAATATATCTCATCTATGTTTCTCAAACCTACCCCTTCCCTGCCCAGTTGTGTGTGTGTATGTGTGTGTATTGGAGTCTCAGAGTCTGTCACCCAGGTTGGTATGCAATGGCACGCTCACAGCAATTGCAACCTCAACCTGCTGGGCTCAGGCGATCCTACCACCTCAGCCTTCCAAGTAGCTGGAACCATAGGCACACGTCACCATGCCCAGCTAATTTTTTTTCAGAGACGAGGTCTCGCCAAGTTGCCCGGGCTGGTCTCGAACCCATGGGCTAAGGCAATCCTCTCATTTCGGTCTCCCAAATTGCTGGGATTATAGGTGTGAGCCACTATGCCCAGCTTTTTTTTTTTTAATTGTAGAGACGAGGTCTTGTCAAGTTGCTCGGGTTGGTCTCGAACACCTGGGCTCAGGCAATCCTCTCACTTCACCTCCCAATGTGCTGGGATTACAGGCATGAGCCACCACAGCTGGTCAGTTGTTTTTTTTAAGAAACAGGGTCTTGCTCTGTCAGTCGGGCTGGAATGTGATACTGTGATCATAGCCCACTGCAGCCTCAAACTCCTGGGCTCAAGTGAGACTTTCCCCTCAGCCTCCCAAGTTGCTGCGAGTACAGGCACATGCTATCACGCCCAACTGATTTTTTCAGAAACAGTCTTTCTATATTGCCCAGGCTGGTCTCAAACTCCTGGCCTCAAGCGATCCTTCCGCCTCAGCCTCCCGAGTCACTGGGATTGTAGACGAGAACCACCACATCTGGTTCTACAAGAGGTTCTCAGGCTTCATGTAGGATAACATGTATCACTCTAGTTACATTCCTTTTTCCTGGCTGCATGGTATTCGAGCACTCATCCATGCCTTAATTTCCTTGTGCAGTCTCTTGTTGAGGGACTCTGCAGTGATTTCCCATTTTTCATTATGATAAATGAAGCAGCCCTGAATGTTCGCATAGATCTCTCCTGGAACATGAGCTCAGTGCTTATAGAGTGAATATGCAGTAGAACTACGTGGACTCTGGGAGGATGCCTTTCAGCTATGTTAGGGGATGTCAAATTGCTCTTCCAAGTCACTGCATTGAATTATGCTAGCCCCCTGCAAAAGGAAGATACCTTCCTTATAAGACAACTTCCTAAAGAACCAATCAAGGCCAGGCACGTTGACTCATATCTGTAATCTCAACACTTTGAGAGGTTGAGACGGGAGGATCACTTGAGTCCAGGAGTTCAAGAATAGCTTGGGCGAGAATAGCAAGATCTAGTCTTTTAAAAAGTCAAAAAAATTAGCCAGGCGTGGTAGCGCGCACCTGTAGTACTAGCTACTCAGGAGGCTGAGGCAGAAGAATTGCCTGAGTTCAGGAGTTAGAGGCTGTTGGTGAGCCATGATTGTGCCTCTGTCCTCCAGCCTGGGCGACAGACTGAAACTTCAACTCAAAAAGAAAAAGAAAATAAAGATTGTTTTGAAACTGTTTCACTCTCTGGCTTAAACCTTCTATGGCTCTCCACTGCTCCCTGAGAAGGCCCAACCCCCTCTGCACTGAGTATCCAGAACCTGGCTTCCAGTTTCAATTCTTGCATCCCTTTCTAAACTCTCAAGATCGATACCCTAGTCAGCCTGAAGGTCTTTTGCTTCCTCAAACAGACCAAACCTTCTGGGCCCTCTGAGCACACTGTTTCCTCTGCTGATCCAGTTTTGCATCACCCAGCAGACCAGTCCAAGCCCTTAGAGAATCAGCCACACACAGGAAAGTATGAGATATTATAAAAATTGCCCAGGGTGCCCCTATCCTGTCGTGGGAGGTGGGTGGGAGAGATGACGACTTTCTGCAGGAACGGACATGAGGGTGAAGTCCCCTTGGAGAGGCCTCCCTTCTCTGGCTGAAAAAACTAATTGTTTTCTTTTGAAAGGAGATCTCTGTGTTGCCCAGGCTGGTATCAAAATTCTGACCCCCTCCAAAAAAAAGGTTGCTTTTCTAAATAAAATAAATGTATTGTTAGACCAAAAAAACTCCCCAAAAAAACCTGGCCTCAGGCAATCCTCCTGCCTCAGCCTCCCAAAGTGTTGGGATTCCAGGCATGAGCCCCAGTGCCCAGCTGAACTCGCCCTTCTGAGCGCATCTACCGCAGACTCCCTAAACCAGGGGTCCCCAACCGCTGGGGCACCAGGTCTCTTAGGAATCAGCCGCACAACAAGAGGCAAGCAGCAGGGATCCGAGCTCCACCTTCTGTCAGATCAGCAGTGGTAGAGTTCAGTTCTCATAGGAGCGTGAACCCTCGTGTGGCCTGCACACGCGAGGGTTCTAGGCTGCGGGCTCCCATGAGAATTGAATGCCTGGAGATCCCTCACCCCACCTGGCAAAATTGTCGTCACGAAATTTCCCTGATGCCAAAAAGGTTGGCGACCGCTGCCTAAGCCATTCTGTGGCTTCCCCCAGTCCTCAGGGGAGAGTCCAAGCCCTCATGCCTCCCTCTGACACGGATGGTGCTGGAAGATCCACCCGGCCATCTCCCACATCGTTGGCACATAGAGGGGCCCTCTGCCCTAGCCTCCCGGCTCCTCCCTTTGCCCCGACAGTCTGTTTCGCCCTTAGCCACCAGGAGGTGCCTGTGAGCACACAAGCTCAGTGGCCTTCCTCCTCTGTTCAGTCTTGCGCACCTCCCACCTCACTGGGAATAAAACCCAAAGACCTCTCCACGGCCTGCCAGGCCCTGTGTGCTCTGCCTTGTCACCGCCCTGCCCTGGCCTCCTGCTACCTCCCCTTCGCTCAGCCACTCCAGCCACATCGGCCTCCTGGCTGCTCCCCTCGAGCTCCCACCTCAGGGCCTTTGCACTTACTGTTCCCTCAGGCCAGACATCTCCAGGGCTCTCTCCCTCACTTCCCTCAGTTATGATTCAAGTAGCACCTTTTGAAGAAGGCCCTCCCCACCCACACACACCGCATCTCCTTAGCTGCTTCATTTTCCTCTTTCCTCTCTGGACTCCCACACAGCTTTTGTATTTATGATGTTTCTAGCTCTGCGAAGGCAGTGATCTGCCAGGCGCAGTGACTCACACCTATAACCCCAGCACTTTGGGAGGCCAAGACAGGAGGATCGCTTGAGCCCAGGAGTTGGAGGCCAGACAGGACAACATAGCAAGACCTCATCTCTACAAAAAATTTAAAAATTAGCTGGGTGTGGTGGCACACACCTGTAGTCCCAGCTACTCAGGAGGCTGAGGTGAGAGGATCACTTGAGACCAGGAGTTGGAGGCTATGATAAGCCACGATCATGTCACTGTACTCCACCCTGGGTGACAGAGTGAGACCCCGACACAAAACAAAATAAAGCAAAGGCAGTGATTTAGGGCTGGCACACAGTAGGTGCTCAATGTTTGCTGATGAAGGGGAGATGAATGGGTGGCAGGCCTGTACCTCCACCCAGCCCCAGGGGTGATGACGTCCGGACTCACCGACTTTGTGTGCAATGTGGATGCAGACCTCCTCGGCGGTCAGCGAGGCCTCACTGAAGGTCACCCAGGGCTCCCCACCACCAGGCCCGGCCCAGTGCAGAAGCACCTTCAGGTCTCCCACAGCAGCCATGGGCTGAGCTACGTCCTCGTTGGGCTTGCTGCTCCTGGCGGCCTTCCACTGACAGAATGGCATGCTCCTGACAGCAGACTCAGCTGTGAAGAGATAGTCATGAGCTCCCAGGCCTCTGTCTGGAGGCACCTCTAAGAGGACCTCAACTTCCAGCCACCTAGGATGGGGTCCAAAGAGAAGACTCTGGGTCCCCCTTGCTGTGTAACCATAGACACCCGATTCCCCTCTCTGAGGCTCGGTTTGGCAGGTTCGGGGCATGCATCCCACCCAGTAGATCTGTCATCGATGATAACACCACCAGACATGCCGTCTAGTGGCTCACGCCTGGAATCCCAGCACTTCGGAAGGATCGCTTGAGCCTGGGAGTTCAGTACCATCCTGGGCAACATAGCGAAACCTCATCTCTATAAAAAATCAAAATAAAAAATAAAACAAGCCAGGCTCGGTGGCTCAGCCTGTAATCCCGTGCCTTTGGGAGGCTGAGGTGAGTGGATTGCCTGAGGCTGCGGGTTTGAGACCTGCCTGGGCAGCGAGACCTCATCTCTACAATAAATCAAAAAATCAGCCGGGCGTGGTAGCGCGTGCCTGTAGTTCCAGCTACTCGGAAGGCTGAGGCGGAAGGATCGCTGGAGCCCAGCAGGTCGAGGCTGTGGTGGCCGGGAGCGGCCACTGCACTCCAGTCTGGGCGACTGAGTGAGACTCTGACCCAAAAAAATAAAATAAAATAAAACAACAAACCCTCCCTTCTTTTGACAAATTTACATCAACATAAAAATCCACTCTGAACCCGCTTCTGCAAAATCACTGATTATTTTGGCAGGTGTGGTCTAACAGACCTGCGGGCAAGTCCTGAAGCTCCCAGTTGCCAACTCAAGCAAGTCACTTAGCCACTCTGGGACTCAGTTTCCCCATCTGGAAGAGGTAGGAGCTCAGAGTGCTGTCATTCAAAGATGGTTGTGACATCTCAACGCAGTTTTCCATTCTACCCATTCAGCACAGACCTTGATGCAGGCACGGAAAAATAACAACTAGGACTAAAACGAGAATAAAACCATGATTATGAGTTTCATCATCATGAACTTTGTATTCCAAGCCCCCACACCTACACACACGAGGGACTCCAGGCCCTTCTGACACCCCCAAGCCTAGGAGGGTTTGTGTCCAGCTCTGTCTTCCCCCGTCTCCTGAGGTCTCCAGTACCGGGAATGACCGCAAATCCACCCAAGTCCTGGTGTAAGACAAACAGGAGGATGTTGTAAGGGCACAATGTCGGATTCCTCAGGACCCGGCTCCTTTCAAGCCTGCTTCCTCGTCTGGAAAACGGGCACGTCACAGTCGCCGCCTCAAAGGGGTGTGGGAAGGATTCCGCGAGATGAGGCGGGGAAAGTACCTGGCACACAGTAGGTACTCAAAAAATGTTCGCCATTACTGTCTATTAATGTTTGAGATGAGATCCTGGGGAAGGGCTTTCGGGTGCCCATTTCCTCCTCCTTGGTCCCCACTGCACCCGGACACCGCCTTGAAGATGGAGTCGGGGTGAGGTCTTGCACTTGGGGAAGCCGTGCCCCCTCTACTCCAAGCCTCCAAACCCGGCTGGCAGGTACAGAAACTGGGGTGTGCACCCACTGGCCAGCGGGTGCCCCCGCCCAAGTGCAGCCGGCCGAGCGCAGTCCGGTCCCCACGCCTCCCTCTCGAGGACCCTCGGAGCGCGCCCCTTCCGCGCCGCCCTCCAGACTCACCCTTCCCTGGGAACTCCGGCTGGAACTCGGACCCCGCCCCGCCGCGGCGGAGAGGAACTGCCGGTTCGCCGCCGAGACGCCCCCTCCCATTGGCCGCCTGAAACGCACACGCCCATTGGCCGTTGTCTTCCCCTTTTCCGTTGGGCTTTCCTCCGCAGAGGTGGCGCTCCGATTGGTCCTCGGCCTCACACGTGGCTCAGCCGCGATTGGCTAACTGGGAGACCGGATATGCCACAGCGTCTTCGATTGGCTGTCGCGGAAGGGGGGCGGAGACGCGGAAGGCAGGCAGGAGAGCGGGGCTTGCGCGCCCCCTGGCCGCGTCGTGCGTTTCCCGGGTGTGCGGGGGCTTCCGGCGCTCCGTCGTGTGCTTGACGAGGGCCGGTGCCCGGCGCCAGGCTGACACGGCCTAGACCCTCGGCCCTCGTCCTCACCTTGGCGTTCAAGGCCGCAGCAGGCCGCCATCCACACCTCCAACCCCCCTGCCATGTGGCTCCCCATTTCCTCCTGCCCCCCTCTGTTTCTTCGTTTGTTTTTTCTTTTCTTTTCCTTTCTTTGTCCTCTCTCCCTTTCTCTTTTCTTCTTCTTTTCTTTTTTTTGGGGAAAGGGTTTATTGAACAGACAGAAAAGCTCCCTGAGTGGGAAAGGGACCCCCGGATGTTGCCCTCTTC